AAAATGGATTATATAAATTTTGGAAAATCAACCTCGAATTAATGTTTTAAAAATTGCACTGAATAATGAATTAAAAAAATTAATGGATCACAAGTCTCATAATTTAATGAGTTAGACCAATGATAGAACTAATAACATAATAATTAAATAAAAATAATATTTATATATATATATATATATATTAAAAAAGAGGTCAAAATGATTTAATCATTTCAAGTCTTAGGTTTTTGCTTTAAGTTTTTAAAAATTATTTAAGTCAAAGCTGACTGAGATCAATTACTAAAATGAGCTAAATGGTTGAACTTACCTTTTCTTCTTCAAGTGATGGTTTGATTGGGCCGATTGTGTAGGTTTGAAAAAAGTGCCTCAAATGTTTGTTCGCTTTTTGAATATGAATTATGATATATTTAATAATCAAATCCTCATATAAAAAGTTAAACGTAATGCCACAAATTTTAATTTGAATTAAATCATTAAAATATATTTTGAAAACACAATTATCTCAGAAAAAATATTCATTTAAGTTTATTAATAAAAACTCAATTGAAGCAACATGGTTAGTTCTAAATAATCTTTTTGTTTTACTATATATGACATATGTTTTAAGCCTAGTAATTCTAAACTTTTTAAATTTTGAAGATAAATAGACAAGTTAATTTTTTTATTATTAATTTGTAATTTTTTGGCCAACTTTTAAGTATTTTTCATTTTTCAAGTCTATGATATAAAAAAATTCAGAAAATACAACTATTGCTTCCAATATTTTTTCCATTGCTTCCAGTCTTTTACTTTCATTTATTTGCAATGCTAATTCCTATATTTTTAAATATAACTATAAAAAATTAATGGTAGATAAGATGCACACAAACTCAGTTACTTCTTGTGCTGACTTATTAAAATTACGATGAATTTTATAAAAAAAATGAGTAAAAGGCAGAGAAACAAGCAGGACATTAAACATACAAAATAAGTGCTAACTTTTTTTTTTTTATCTTTCTACCCTAGCCATTGTGTCGTCCTCTTTTTGAAGCTACACTAATAATACGTTTAAGGACTCTAATATACAGTGTCCAACTAATCATACTTTTATTAACTCAACAACAGAATCAACAAAGTTATTAACAACTTTAATTCTATCAGTGTCGATAAGGATTCATATTGTAGACAAATAAAAGTTAAGAGATAAGGAGCAATGAAAAAAAATATAGAGACTAATACTAAAATATGCAAAAAAAAAATGTATATGGAGCAATAGTTATGTTTTTACAAAAAGATTCAATTGAGAAGATGTACTTATATAAGGCCCTTAAAAAGGAAGGACAACAATTGGGCTTGTTTGGCCCAAACCAAAACCAAATTGAGTCACGTGACGTTACCATCTCTCTTCTCCTGCAACGACCTTCCATTTCTTATTACCAAAAAAAAAAAAAAATCCATTTCTCACTTTATTTGAACCTTAGGTCAACTCATTTTTCTCACTTCATTGTCAGGTCAACCAGGACAAAGTTCCTGATAAATCTAATCGTCCAACATAACCTCTCTACTAACAACCTTCTAACAAAAAATCAAAATTGAGTTCATTAAAATATAGCCACTTCTGAATATTCAACTAATTCTCCATACATAGTATGTGTTCGGTTTTATATTGAAAATTAATTAGTTCATTCTACTAAAATTATAGTTTTCATGGTTTCAAATGTGAAACCAGAACATGCTTATTTTTAATCGATGACCATTCTGATAAAGAAAACAAAATTATTTTTTGACAAAAAAAGATATTTTCAAAACAAAAAGTAATATTTGTTATATAAAGGATAAAGGGGCAAAAATACTTACAAAGTAGCCAGCCATAGGCACCCAGTATCTTAAAATGACGAAAAGGATAAAAATACCCATTATGTTACAAGGATGGGTATAAAAGTAATCAAACTATTAACTTTGAACTAACATCGTTAACTTTGACAATTAAATGCTAACTGTACATGTCATGCGTCAATTTTTACTGGTGTGGACTAAAAAAAAGGCAAAAATACCCACGAAGTTATCGGCTAAGAGCAAAAATACTCATAACGTTATCAGAATTGGTGCAAAGGTGACCAATACATCCAATCCCTTAAATGCTAACCTTTTAGCTGACACCTAAGTAAAAGTTGACTATTTTTTTTACTTATGTAGAACAAAAAATATTCCTAGATAAAATTCTCTGAAAGTTAATCAGTTATTGTGTGAATATCATGTGAGGAAATGTCATTTTGACTGAATATCAAATTAAATTGCTTGTTTCTTTGCAGTAGTGGCAAAAATCATTTAAAAATTTTGAATTTATCATGAATACAATTGCTTAAGGTTGTGACAATATTTTTAAATTAGATGTGCTCAGTCTTGATTTTTGAGTTTGAGCAACCTAGTTCACTATGTTAAATCTCAAGTTTTGTAGACAAAAAAAAAAAGAGTGAAGAGAGAAAAAGGAAGGGGGCAAGATACGTGGTGATGGAAAGAAACCATATGGCATTAATTTTGATAGATTGATTACCATTGCACCTACTAAAGTTACATTATAGGTACTCATACAATGATCGATCAACATCTATAAAAATTTATTTTGAAATATTTTTTTGTCTACATCAGCAAAAAAAAATAATCAATTTCTGCTTAGGTGTTAACTAAATGGTCAACATTTAAGGGATTGAATGTATTGATCACTTTTGCACCAATTCTGATAACATTATGGGTATTTTTGCTCTTGAACGATAACTTCATGGGTATTTTTGTCTCTTTTTTAGTTCACGTCAGCAAAGACTGACACGTGACATGTACAGTTAGTATTTAATGGTCAAAATTAACGGTTTAGTTACTTTTGCACCCATTCATATAACGTTATGGGTATTTTTTTTTACTTTCGTCACTTTAGAATACTAAGTACTTATGGTTGATTACTTTGTAGGTATTTTTGCTTCTTTACCCTTATATTAAAATTGAAAGATTAATTCGAGGTAAATTGTGCTTAGCCCCCAAAATTCGAGAATGTGTAAAATGTATATAGCTTCTCTAACAATTAAGATTTTAATGAATTCCAATTAACTTTTAAATTTATACGGCAACCCTTATACTCAATTTGTCTATTATTTTATTAATAAAATGAAATATAACATGGAAGCAATACACAGCACAGGCATATGACTAAAATATTAGGTGACCTTATCCCATCTGGTGAGGCTAGTAATATGGATTGCAAGATTAAATGTAAAAACATTATTCATCAATAAGGCTAATTGTAAAGAGGTTATTTGCACAAAATAAAATAGTTTAAGAACACATTTATTCATCAACATACCATGCTCCATTAGTGAAATAAAGGATTAACCATAAGATGTTATTCACACAAATTTAATGCAATGTTTAATAAGCTGAAAAATGTTTTCTAGAAGAAAATGAGAAGTACATCTTTCTCATTTTTAAATATCCTTTTCATTTTCTTTCTAGAAAATGCTTTTTTGTATAGCAAATATGCAGTGAATGTTTAGAAAGGTTTTATTTTTTGGTCAAATTTTATGAGTTAGAAGTTATTTAGACATGATTTAAAATTCTGAGAAATTTTGTAGTTATTTAGTGTAACTTGTTCGGTCTGGGCTTAGTTTTTTGTTTTTAAATCCGAGGAATTTTGCGCTGTTTGGCCTTAGTTTTATTCTGCTTCCTTGAAAAAATGAACAAAGACTGAAAAATGAGAGAGAAGGATGGCCAAGTATTTCTATAGAATTATCTAGAGATAGAATGTACACCGTTAGATCGAATCAATCCCAACCGTCCATTAAGGAGGTGGGAATTTTCTAGAGAAAGGGGGAGGCCTATAAATACCCCATCATCCCTCATTTGTAACTCACTCAAGCTTAGTGTAAAAGCTCTTAAAGTTCATTCACTCAAGCTCTCTACTCTCTACTTGTGCATCTAGCTCTCTTAGCCTCCTTGCCTATTTGTGGGATTCGGCTGACTTAGCAAAGATCAAGAGAGGGATCAAGCTAAGGCCGGCACGGTTCAAGGGAAGGGAGTTCCAAGGCCGTGACAACGTGGTATCAGAGCATAACATGGGTCACAAAACATGCAGAGGAGCATCCCTATATAATATTATTATTTCAATTTTATGTTTTTGATAATATTTTATTTTAATGGATGCGGAAACTAAAATAAACGAAGTCTTTTGACTGTCACTGTTAAAAAAAAAAAGAACTTATTATATTTAAAAATTATAAATTTGAACCGCCTTGTTCAACTAAGAGAATAGACAGTTTTGGTCTACCCCCCCTTCTCCCTTGCTACAAGAAAGAAGGAATTAAAACACGCAAGCATGATCAAATCATTGCCAGGAGCAATGTCACTGACAGAGAAGGATCGAGACCCAAAGAAGAAGAACGAGGAGGAGAAGGAGGAGGACAAAAAAAGAATCAGACTTCAGACATGCTAATTGGCAGAAGTATCTGCGGTCATTTCTGTTGCCCCCTCTAATGCCTAAAATCTTGGCCCTTCATTTCAGTTAATAGCCACAGAAACTTCATCTAATTCTTCCAAATAAAAAGTTGAGATTTTAGGCATTAGAGGAGACAGTAGAGAGTAACAGACACCCCAAATTCCTCATTCATGTACTCAGTTTAATTGCTTCCAGATTAAGCTCTCAATAAGAATCCACGCACAAATGCACCATACATACTGGTTGAGTTACATGAACTCTAACCTGCACTCAATGCTTCTGAATTTCTTAACAAGCTCAACAGGTGACCAGCCTGCTGGGGGTAAGAAGCGACTGCTAATACAGCTTGCGTCCTGTCGGCCATCACGGACCCGAGTTACAAGGTTCTGCCCTCTACACTGAGAAGTCCTGCCGAGTCAAAATTTCGAAAGTTTCATCCATAAAAAGGCAACAACGATGACAGAAGACTCCCGACTTGGGTAGCATGTCATTATTAAGAAAAACACACACACGCACGCACGTTAAAAAAAAGAGCTCATGTATCCGGATGCATCATATGAGGATTTAGAAGTAATGGGTGAAAAATGACCCTATACAGATATTGTCAAAAATATGATGTCATTACAAATGCATATCCACAGACATGTCAAGGCTTAAGGGGAACAGCATTTGGGCTCAGGGTTTAATCCATTTTCCTAGGCCACAGGACATAAACAGCATTACAAAAACTTGGCAAATACCATGAACTAGCCCTTAACTCACACCACGATATATGGCACCAGGTCGAAGATCATCCATATTCTCAATGTTTCTATAGCCATCAACTTCCCTCAGACATGTCCAGCCCCGACGTGTCAGGAAATCACGGTAATCATCTTCAGTGTAAAAGATCTTATCCTCATAAACAGGGATATGGTCAGAGTCATCATAGAGGTATATTTTAATGGCCATTCCTGCATTCATAATTATTAAGGTTACAGAAAACATACTGTTACATACTTTCAGTATAAGAAGGAAAATGAGTATGAAACCATTTAGCATCATATTTTTTTCCCTGGCTGCTGAATATTGCGGTTATAACCCCCAAGCAGGCTTATGTAAAGCCAATCTTGTCATATCTCTTCGAAGCTTTGAGTAAGGATGTTGTGGTATTTAGAGGGAAAACACAGAATGAAAGAGAGGGAAAGAAAAGAACAGAGACAGAGAGGTGAGAGAAAAGAGAGAACACAGTCAGTCAATCTGAATAGGGCAGCTTCATTAGGAATCAGGATCAGCTTAGGTACAATATATCTCTTATTTATAGGTACTTGTTATTAATAGGATATTAACAGCTATAATGATTAATCTGAATAGGGAAGCTTCATTAGGAATCAGTAACTGACTCTTGTTATTTTGCAATTACAAAACAAAGAACCAGCCATATGAAATCCACCAGTTCAATGATGAAGCAATGAAAGATTAATGAACTACTTCCAAACCTTAGGGGTGGCCCCATGGATATTGTTCCAAACATTTATACTAAAAAGGTTACTTATTAAAAAGGAAGCATGTAAAGTACATGGGGGTTGTTGCTGAATTAGGGTCTCAGATAATGAAGATCTAAACCCATCTACTTGCTAAGGCGCTTATCCAGGCTTAACATGACGTCGAAACTAACTTCCAACTGTTGGCTGGTATACAAATGATTCTGTTCATCAAGATGCATTATGTAACTTAAACAAGGCCTGACATCAATGCATGTTGGATAAGTAACACAGTTCCATTACAATTTCACTCTCTTCTGTACCCCAGCCATCAACATTTTGTGCGTGCACAAGTTACAAAAGAATGCACTTATTAGCACGTGCATTTATGCAGGTACGAGGTGATTATGCCTGATAAACCCTCAGCCAACTTTTCCTCAAGAAAAAATTGCACAAATAAATCACATGCTAGTAGAATAAGCTGAGCCTAAAATACCTTCATCTAGGTGAAGAGTGTAATTTCCTAAAGGCATGTCACGGTCAAGACTTCTGATTATCTGTTCTTCATCCTCCAACCAAAACGCACGTCTAGTTCTCAGCCTAAAAGCAGCCCTTATTGCTTCCTTGATGGCATCTGATGCGCCATCAATACCTATTCTTCTCGTATAATCACCCCATTTGACTGATATAACCCTCCCACAACATGATTGACCTTCCCCACCTGCAACCATAAAGAAGCAGAAGAAGATAATGTCCCAAAGAAAAAGGAGGAAGAAAGTGATGTGAATTTTTCCTCCAAAAAAGGGTCCAATGTCTAAGGCTTTAGAACAATTTCTCCAATATTCTCGTACAAATATAGTGTGCTTAAGAAGAAACAAAATGGAACGATAAGTAATTGAAATGCCCAGTCATCAGATACTAATTAAAGATGCTTGGTGTCGTGCAAAGCTCATCTGTTTCTGCTTCTCATGCTTTTTCAGTTTTTCTCTTCTCTCATTGGTGATTGAGCAAAAGTCAAACTAGGAATCTACGCATAGCTTACCATTTCCAGGAGTTTCTCTCCAATTCCAAGGAGGCACTCCACTTGCTGCAACAGCATCAGCTGCAGCAATGGTAAGAGGATGTTCATCATGATCCAAACGCCTCTCAAGATTGAGTGTTGGTCTCCCAGCTGCTGAAAGCTGGGATTGTTAGCATTATGAAAATTATAAAGAGCCAACTGCTAACAATGTGCTACAAAACATAATGAATGGGTTAAAGGTCTAAAATGGTTTCAGAAACTTGTAAGTTAAATATCTTGCAATGAGCACTTCTTCATAAGCATTGATAATCACTTTTACAACATTAAAAGCTGAACTGTACATGAATTTTCATGTAAGTGACAAAACTAATCAACGATAAATTGTAGTAGTTTCAGATAATCCCAGAAAATTAATGGCCTGTTTGGGTAACCCTCAAAAGCACATTCAAACCACATCTAGGATATACTTTTGCCAAATCCAACAAATAGTTGGATCCCCTAAATGTGCTTTTGCCAGATGTAAACTGAAAATCAAAAGCACACTAAATCCATGGATTAAAAAAATATTTGGCATTCAAATGCTTTTAATGTTGTGAAATCACTTTTTCAAATGCTTTTAATCACTTATACAACATTAAAAGCTGAGTTACAAAACTAATGAATGATAAATTGTAGCAGCCTCAGATAATCCCAGAAAATTAAATCCATGAATTAAAAAACAATTTTTAGCATCTGAATGCTTTTATTGACTTAAAATCAAATAAGTCCCTGTATGGATCTCGGACAGAAAAATGAAAAACCTATAAAGAAAAAAAAAAAATGGTTCAAGGATTTCTGATATCACTTGCAATTTTGCATCACGATTGGCTTTTTGTTTTTTGTTTTTTTGGCTCAAATAAAGCAATAAGAACATTGCTAGATACCATATGAAGTAAAAAAGTGCAATTCATTATTTGTCCTATTATTCCTATCACTGCACAAATACTTTCCAGACAAGAAAAAAACCATATGCTAAAACATTATAGTAGCAGTTAACTTTCTGTCAATGCATAGGTATTTATAACAAGCAGTTAAAATTTACAAGTGTGATTGACATTGATGTTGTGGACATTTTCTTCTACTTATACTTGAAAGTACAATTAAATTGTAACTAAAACAAAATCACCCTAGATAATCAAATATGAAAAACCCAAGGAAACAACTAATCAGATTATACAGTAGAAAGCAGGAACCTAACACTTGAATTCTATTGACATACCTTCAACTGGGCCAAAAGAGATGCTAGTATCATCAATACCTGCACAGCCACATAAGCAGTCAATTCACTGTTCATAAACAGAATGGTAAACTTTTGACTGGGCAGACATCAGGTATGGAATGAGTTTGGAGCAAGATTTTTGTACAAGTTATCATTGTTTTCCAGGTTAAGAAGAAAATCACATCAAAAAGCCATTATATTACTGAGATTTAGAGCATTATATGCCATAAATCATATGCAAAGAAAATCCATATGTTTAAAGGGAAGTTTTATCAAACTACTACAAGATCAGTCATGTTATATGGTAGTGAATGTTGAGCTTTAAAATAATAACAAGAGTATAAAGTTAGTGCAGTAGAGATGACAATGTTGAGATGGATATGCGAAACATACACAAAAAGAAAAAACTCATAATGAGCATATATGAGAAAAAGTGGGTGTAGCATCTATTAAGGAGAAGATGGTAAAAAATTATTTGACATGGTTTGAACATGTATAGAAAAAGTTGAGGGAGGCATCGAAGAAGAGAGTAGAATAGATGGTCTTGAGTTTTGCAAAGAGGAGCAGATGAAAGTCAAAGAGAATACTCACAAAAGTTATTGAACGAAACCTCATTGTTAACAACATTCCCAAAGACATGGTTGATGATAGAATACAATAGCATTGTGTAATCTATATCGCTAACCCTACCTAGTGGGAAAAGGCTTGTTGTTGTTGATGAAATTAAAGATCACTGAAGGTAAGGAGAGGCTTCCCATTGAAGGGTTGTATATCAACCAAAGTGAATGGGACATCAAAAGCAACATTCTAAAGTTATACCAGGCAAGAGTAACTAAAAGTTGTTAGTTGGCCCATAGTCAGCCACGTAATATTCACTGGTGGAGGATAAGCAATTGAAAATACAAATAAGGACAACTTAATTATGATGATACAAAAGGCATCTTCTTTAGTCCTTCAGTTTTCTGTTCCACAAAGCAATAAAAAGAGTGAAAGACGACAGTCCATTCAATGTATGTTGATATGGCATGATCATAATAATTTGCATGAAGAGCATAATCTTGTGGATACAAAGGACAAATCTAATTATACAGACAAAAGATTCACCATATCATATAATTTTCATCATAGACATGTACATTTGGAACAATGCAAAAAATTGGCTAGAGAAGCAATGACACTAGGAGATACAAATGAGTATGAAGGGAACTTGTTGAAAACTTTTTTAGTTCACTTCTTACAATTTCAGCTGAAAATTAGCTGAGCTACCTAGATAAGGCAGATATTCTGAAAATGGAATTCAACCAATCATATAATTAAGATGCCTTTCTTTTCCAACAAAACTTGTTGGAGCTCAGAAAATGCAGTCTATTTGACAATTCAACTGTTATAACAGGGCAGTGGCAGTGATTTGTTGCATTATACCCATTCTATAAAACAAGAAGCAAAAATACTTCCTAGTTCTTTTTTTTCTTAAAATTAACAATACGCCCAAGTTCTCTAACAGTACACAAATCAGCAACCCTGCTTTTTCTTCCATGTGACAAACTATCCAGCTTAAAAACCACAGAAAATCAAGAAAACCCACAAAAGCAATGGATGAAAACCGTGAATACCTTTATCTGCAAAATGCATATAAGAATCAACCTTAGGAGGTGTAGGGCTCTTGTACTGCATACTCTTATTCCTCTCCCTGAGAATCTCTTCAATCTCTTTATAATACGACATCTTAGCAGAACCACTTCCCCTATCCTGGTGCTTAGCCTTCTTAAATTCCTTCAACAGATTCCTCCATTTGTCCGTGCACATAGTGGGCGAGCGATCAAACCCCTTCTCTCTCATCTTCGCCGATATTTGTTCCCACAAATGCTTGTTGGACTTGGATGTATTGAAAAGCCCATCCATCTCACGGCGAAAGGCAATCAAACTCCGAGTCTCGTCTTGAACCCAAGTCTCAGCACGCTTCTTGGGAGCCTTGATTTCAACTTCGTGGTCCTCACCACTACTCTCGCCAAGAATCATTTGATGTTGTGGGGGTTGTTGGTGAGGAGGAGCGAGTTCGCCATTTGAAACAACCTCGATCATCATATCTCGGCTCCCTTCTTCTTTGTAGAAATCGATAGGGCGAGGCTTCTCTGATAAATACATGATGCGAGGGTCAAATCTTCGAATACGATGATATTGCTGTGCTCAGTGCATTCAAACGGGAATGAAATTGAGACGAGGCAAAAGGGTATGTGAGGGTTTGTGCAGAGAGTGAAGGAGAAAGAGAGCGTGAAGTGAAAGCCTGAGTGGATAATTTGCGAAGAAAGAGGCAAGAGTTGAAGTGGACTTGTCTTTCCATGTGTTTGTTTACCTTCACATTCGGATTTTCCGGTCGATTTTTCGCTGAGTCACCCTGCCTCGGTAATTTTAACCTATTCTTTGGGTTAATGTTTGAATGTCTTCTTTTTGGATTGTAACAAGTTCTCCCCCACTTTTTATTTGCGAGAGAAAAAAAAATCATACAATTTTAAAAAATTAATTATGTTCGAAAATAAAAAAATTAAATTATAATATTCTTCATTAATTATTTTTTATAATTATAAATGATAAAATTATAAAAAATAATTTAAAAAATTTACAATAAATGTTTATTTAAAAATATAATTTTATTTATATAAAAAAATAAGTTAAAAGTAATAATTTTTTTTTATAAATAAAAATAGAGGGAGTATATGCTTGACTTTTTTTTTGATGAAAATTGAATAGAAAAATCCTTTTATATATGTAAGATGGAACTTTTACATTTTAAGCATGAATTAGTGAATGAGCCTATCTGTTTTAGTTTATTTTATAAAAAAATTACTTATTTTTGAAAAAAAATTATTTTGTGAGTTTTTAAGATGTTTTTTAAACTTTTTAAAATAATCAAAATTTTAAAAAAATATATTTCAAATTATTTTAAGAAGTTGCTTTGAGTAATTTTTGAAATTGATCTAAAGATGTCATAAAATTTTTAAAAAATATAATAATAAATACTTTTTATAAAGAAAAAAATAAAATAGATATTATAAAGTTTAAAAATAACTAACAAATAATCACTTTTTTATTATTGTAATTAAATATAAAATAATGCCTGTTTCCTATAAAATCTTTACAAATTAATTTTTTTATAAAATTTTTAAAATATCTAAAAATTATTTATTTTTAAATTCTAAACAAACGGGCCCAGTAAAATGTTTGAGGAACTGAAAATGAAGTATTTTTTATTGGACAATAAGTTTATCATACTATAAAACAATTGTACCAAATAAAGGTGGTAGAGATATCCTAAAAATAACATGTTTGACCATTTGAGCATTTGAATCTCAATCCATTTGTGTGTAAAGAAAACGTCTACCTTTTGTTTTTAACACATTAAAGGAGAAAGTTTCTCAACGAAATCTACTTTTTATCTTTTAAAAATATTAGTGTTACGTGTTACTTCATTCATTAAAAAATATAAAATTTTTTTAATTAAATACCACCTTTTAATAAAGTAGTTACTTATTTTTAAATTAACTTTAGCTTTCTATATTTATTTCTATTAAACATTCTATAGTAAATATAAAATCACTATTAATAGAGGCATTTAAAAAAAATAATGATTACATCTAAAAGACTAAAAGTGCTTTATATTTTTTTTAAGATCAAACTCCTCAAAAAATATGTTTTATTTTTATTTGCATTTCATATGTAAAATTTATACTTCATGCTTTCTTTCAAACATTTGAAAATTAATTTGAATTTTGTAAAAAAACAAAATCAACTCCGGTCAGAAGCTTCGATAATGAAAGAAATAACTTTTGACCTATATAATCAAGCTTAGAGCCCTAATACCTTTAACCTTTAAGTTTATTTGGACCAGCTTAAATACTTGAATCTTTTTAAAAATATTTTTCTTTATTTTTTGAATTAATTTTAATTTTTAAATTATTCTGTTAAGCATAAAATATTTTTTTGAATTAAAAAAATAAAAAAAACAACTTATGAAATTTATACTTAAGTAACTTTATTATTGTTTTGTTATATTATGTGTAATTTATTCATGAATATTTTCTTTACTAGTAAATCAATATCTTAATTGTTTAAATATTACTTTTATCATGGTCACATATACATATTTTATATATCATTATTAAATTATATTATTTTAATTGTGATCAAATTGTTATGAATTCGATCACAGATAAACCATTAACTTAGAATTATTGCATTGATTAATTCAATTTTTTTTAATAACTTTTAGGTACAATGTACTTTTAATTTTTAAGAAATGAGAAAAATAGTCATTATTATATTATATAAAACAAAATCATTTAATTATAACTAAAATACTATTTTTTTAAAATTATTTTTCTTTAAATTTTTATATTGTTTAATCCTTGCATACAAAGAGTATTTATTTTAGTTTATTCTTTATTTTTAATGAAGTTTGGTGTGGATGATAATCAAATAATTATCTAAGGATATTATTTTATTTATTATGTTTATTTAGTAATAGAGTGGAGAATTCATACATGCTCAAATTTTATTTTTAAAATTATTTTTAATTTAATTTTTCCTTAAAATTAATTATCTTATTTTATAAAAAATGTAAAATATTTTTTTGTATACTGAAATTATGTATAGGATTCAAAACTTTTTTTTAAAATAATTGGGTCTTAAAATATAAAATTAATATTAAAATATATTTTAAATATTATTTTGAGATATTTTGTTGATTAAAAATAATAAAAATATAAAAATATAAATATTTTTATTTTTTTAAAAAATAACTATAGTAATGTACTCAAATATATAGTATTTTAATATAAAATGATATAAAACTTAAAGAGTTAATAATATTTATTGTATTTTATTATTTTTTAAAAATATTATTTTTTATTTTGATATTCGGGACAAACCCAAACCAAATCGAGCTTTGCTCGAATAAACCCGAATATTAAAAAAATGTTATTTTTTTGGGTTCAACTTTAAATTTTTTTTGACGGGTTCAAGCTAATCTATTGAATTTAGCTCAAATTATTAGCTTTATTAATGAGCAAGCCATTTCTCACTTTTTTTTTTTGAAATAAGGACAAATTTCATTCAAAGTAAAATAAAATCAGTACAAAAAAAAAAGACCATTATTAAAAAACTAAAGGCCCCGAAACATAAGGTGAAACTGACCCAAAAGAAACCAACTAAACAGACCCCAAAGAAAACGACAAGCTCGAACATACAAACGTGATAAAACAAGCCGAAAAGCACAAACAAGCCGAAAAACATATGTAGACTTGATCAAGAGCAAAACCAAAAACAATATATTGTTGATAGGTGCACACTACTTTTTAATTTGCACATATTGTTTAGTCAATAAATTCACAAAATTTATTTTATTATTATTGAAATTAACATTAACATATTTTATTTATTAAATAGAATTCAACAAATTTAAAAATATTATATACAATTTTATCAATATTTACATTTTAAAAAATAATGTCCTTTATAATAATTTGTACATCTAAAGTTAATTTTGACTAAATCACCCAAACATCTTTAATTTTATCACATTCAATTCTAAAAAATACTATTTAAATATAATCACATTATAATCAATTATAATTAAAATCTATTGTATTAATTAATTATTTTATAATCAATTGTATTCAATTGAAATTCAAATAGATTCATAAGCTAAATTGAGGGAGATAATACCCCAAGACGTGCAGCTTCAACCTGCCTTCTTTCTGACATGAAGAAGACCGTAAAGTTTAATTTATTGATGCTTGAATGCGACATAATAACAAGTTAACAATTGTAAGTACGATACCATTTCTTTTTATCTATAAAGAAAATAAATTAGTGGTAGTGTAAGGTCTCACCCGGATTCTCATCCGAACAAAATTTCAGAATTTACTTTTCACATTTCAAAAGTAATATTCTGAAAATGTGACTTAAAGCCTTCAACTGGAGAGACAGAATTTTGTTGACTGATGGAGATAACTAAAAAGATTTGAAGTTGTGTTGGCAGTTAGCAATGAATACTAAGATATAAAAAGACCAAACAAGCAACTCGAACAACTTCAGAAGGCCTAAGCAGTCTTTAAATGGAGCTAGCAGACGAAATAATTTTTAGCTCACACAAATAGCAATAAGAACCTGCTTCAAAAGCTAGTCAAAGATGTCTAGCTCAAGAGCAGCGAGAAAGCTTCTGAGTTGATTCTTTGTCATCTTCATATATCTTCTCCCATAGGATTTGACAAACCATAGCTTTATATGAATAAGCCATGGCAAGGATAAAAACTCATCAGCAAGAACAAAGTGATGATGACTCAAAACAGAGAAGTTTACACCTAAAAAAACAAATAGAAGCCAACCAGCAGACAAGAACAAACCATGCTGATCGTAATAATGGAACCTCATGCTGCTGCAAAACATGAAGGTCCTCAGTAGTATCATGGAAGAAGACTAGGTTTTTTGGTCAAAACCGTCGTCCATATCAGCCCCTACATCTGAATCAGAAAACAGAGCATAATTTCGTTTAAAACTAAAACCCACATATGACACTGAAGCTGCAACAAAACCAAGGTTAGCAAGATTAGATGATTTCATGGAAGAATTGAGGTAGGTGTAGATGCTCATTGATGATGGAATGAAACTGGAATAAATCCATTCTCTATTGGAGCAAAACTCAGTTGTCTTCTATCACGGTCTGAATCATTCATGAAATCGTCATAGGTATCTCCAATGATAAGAATAACCCTGACATCTTTCCTGCCAAAGATTATGAATGACCAAATGTGTAATGTCATGGGCATTAACTACCACTAATCACAATACTTATAGCCAATTATTTAACTGAAGAAGATACTAAAGGAAGATAAGATCAAGTTTTGGCTAGTTTGATAACTCAAAGAATAGACTTTACATAAATAGAATCCCAAAATAAAACTACATTTAAAATCAAGTATTAAAGGTCCTTGAAACAAAGGTAATCTAAGTGAAAAAAGAATTTAGGAAGAATGGAAAAAGGTTGAGTATTTATAATATTTTAAAACCAGGTCAAAGAAGACAATTTTTGAAAAACTTCACCTTTTTTTGTGGCTTATGGTATCGAGAGCATCCATTATTGCCCACGACACTATCCATTGTGGTTAACACTCTCTGTATCATGTGCCACAACTAACCAAGCCCTCCATCATGGCACAAAAACTATGACAGCAAAGCTGTCATAACAACATCTCGGAGTCTAACTTTTGGTACACACAACTTTTTGCTCAAACCTCTATAATATTTTGAGTTTTAATTCCTTGAT